AAACACAGTAATAATTAGTCAACTTCTTACATACACATCAGAACACAGTAATAATTAGTCTACTTCTTACTTACACATCAAACACAGTACTAATTAGTACACTTCTTACATACACATCAAACACAGTAATAATTAGTACACTTCTTACATACACATCAAAACACAGTAATAATTAGTACACTTCTTACATACACATCAAACGCAGTACTGTTGCGTCAGCGAGATCACGTGACTATTCTCATGCCCTCTGCTTTCTAGAACTATCCTGTACCTTGGCGAATGCTCTAGCATTTACTAGATATAGGGTAGTCTGATATATAAAAGAGGGTGACAACGTGACGAACAATTAATGAGTGTGTAGACAGTGAGTAATTGATCTGCAGTCAGAGAGTATTATTGAGCACGTTCGTTGTTATAGCGTTTGTTTTAGCGCGATTGTTGAAATTAAGTGTATCGTAAAGTTATATTTGGAAAGAATAAACCAGTTTTACTAAGTAAGGACTTGTGTCGCTAAAGTTTCGTCGGAAGGAATTTATGGAAAATCAATTAACAAAACGGAGACGTAACAGTACTAATCAATACACTTCTTACTTACACATCAGAACACAGTAATAATTAGCCTACTTCTTACATACACATCAGAACACAGTACTAATTAGTCTACATCTTACTTACACATGAAAGTGCAGTACTAGTTAATATAGATTTTACTAAGACTGAAGTATAAGCAGAAGACATTAGTAGACTTACTTGTACATATCTACACATTACAAGTTATTATACTTCTTATAATTACAATATTTCATGACACATATCAGAATTACTTACCTTGTACTCATTTAATTTCATAGCAACTAAATTTGGCATCTCTTCATGTTTACCATGTGGCAGAACATCACCAGTGAGTCGTTGCTCTGCTTGGTTTAGCCACTCACCCAGCTGGCCCAAACGGCCAGGCAAAGAGCAATCCAGTTTCCATCTCCACCTGGCCATATTAGTTTCAAGTTGCTTCCAGCGCTGGTCTAGTACAGGCCACATGCTGACCAGCACTGGATCTGCTGTTTTCTTTGTGATTTTATTACTCAGCTGATTGTACAGTGTTCTCTTTGTTTCCATGTCATTTTGAAAAGCTTTGTATTGCTAAGACAATAAATAGAAGTTAAAATTACTATCACTCTGAAACAATGTTATTTTTTTGTTGATATCAAAGTGATTTAATCAATAAATTAAATCTAAGTGAAAACGTTCTTAAGTGTACTGTTTTGAGTAATGACAGACAAATCCTAACTGATATAAACTTTATTCCAAAACTTATTACAACTAACTAATTTTGTCATCAAACACATTTATCAAAAATGATAACCTAGTTAACTTTAGTTTCAGCTAACTAATATATAAAATATAGAATGTTCTTGTCACAAACTGTTCTAGCTAACTTTAGTTTCAACTAACTAATGTATAAAATGTAGAATTTTCTTATCACAAACTATTCTAGCTAGCTTTAGTTTCAACTAACTAATGTATAAAATGTAGAATAGTGTTATCACAAACTATTCTTGCTAACTTTAGTTTCAACTAACTAATGTATAAAATGTAGAATATTGTTATCACAAACTATTCTCGCTAACTTTAGTTTCAACTAACTAATGTATAATATGAAGAATATTCTTATCACAAACCATTCTAGTTAGCTTTACTTTCAACTAACTAATTTATAAAATGAAGAATATTGTTACCACTAATGTATAAAATGTCAAATATTCTTATCACTAACTATTCTAGCTAACTTTAGTTTCAACTAACTAATTTATAAAATGTAGAATATTGTTATCACAAACCATTCTAGCTAGCTTTACTTTCAACTAACTAATGTATAAAATGTAGAATATTGTTATCACAAACTATTCTAGCTAGCTTTACTTTCAACTAACTAATGTATAAAATGAAGAATATTGTTACCACAAACTATTCTAGCTAGCTTTACTTTCAACTAACTAATGTATAAAATGTAGAATATTGTTATCACAAACTATTCTCGCTAACTTTAGTTTCAACTAACTAATGTATAAAATGAAGAATATTGTTATCACAAACCATTCTAGCTAGATTTAGTTTCAACTAACTAATTTATAAAATGAAGAATATTGTTACCACTAATGTATAAAATGTAGAATGTTCTTATCACTAACTATTCTAGCTAACTTTACTTTCAACTAACTAATGTATAAAATGTAGAATATTGTTATCACAAACTATTCTAGCTAACTTTAGATTCAGCTAACTAATGTATAAAATGTAGAATATTTTACCACAAACTATTCTAGCTAACTTTAGATTCAGCTAACTAATGTATAAAATGTAGAATATTTTTTACCACAAACTATTCTAGCTAACTTTAGTTTCAACTAACTAATGTATAAAATGTAGAATATTGTTGTCACAAACTATCCTCGCTAACTTTAGTTTCAACTAACTAATGTATAAATTAATAATATTCTTATCACAAACCATTCTAGTTAGCTTTACTTTCAACTAACTAATGTATAAAATGTAGAATATTCTTATCACAAACAATTCTAGCTAGCTTTACTTTCAACTAACTAATGTATAAAATGTAGAATATTGTTATCACAAACTATTCTCGCTAACTTTAGTTTCAACTAATTTAAATAATGTAGAATATTGTTATCACAAACTATTCTCGCTAACTTTAGTTTCAACTAATTTATATAATGTAGAATATTGTTATCACAAACTATTCTAGCTAACTTTAGTTTCAACTAACTAATGTAGAAAATGTAGAATATTCTTATCACAAACTATTTAATTAACTTTAGTTTCAGCTAACTAAGGTATAAAATGTAGAATGTTCATATCACAAACTATTTAATTAACTTTAGTTTCAGCTAACCATGTCATCAATCAAATTAAGACTTGATATGTTAGATATTTTTATGGAAAACTACTTACTTTATACTCTTCAAAGTGATTTGTGACAGGCTTATTGAGAATCATGAGAACAGTCTCTGCATGGTCTAGCCACCTACTGAGAGTAGTGGCATCATCTTGTTGAACTGGAGATGGTGGGACTGCCATCAGTTCCTGTTCAGGCTGTGCATAAGTTTCTGGGTACTTATGTAAGAACTGAGACACATACGTCATGAGAGACTTTTCATCTGGATGGTCCACATCAATATCTACCCAGAAAAACTCATTCAATCAAATATAATGAAACAAAAACAATCACTTTGAACTGTACAAACTTCTTTTGTGTGTAACAAGAAAAAAAAATAGCAAATAATAATAAAACTTCAGATATGAATTATTTTAATTAGGTATCTTTTTCATTTTACACTTTAACAAACATCCATTCCTACACTAACATGTTTGGATAATTACCAGAAGTTTACATAATCAATATTTTTAAATAATTCTGTGTCAGGTTTTTTTTGGAAAAGAGCTAAAAAATAAGTCAGTTTTTTATTTTGCTTTTTGATAGGTATACTTGTATATTAATGAAATAAAAGGTCTTTATGATAATTCATTTTATTTCTGCACAAAATATTCTTCATAAATGAGTGTTACATACTTTGATTTATATGTGAAATGTATTATTTCAATAAAACTATAATAAAGAATAGGAATGCTTTCTTTAGTATTTATGATACATAATTCACAATAAATCCAACAGAGGCCAGCACAAACAGCATTTCCAGTGCCATCTAGCAAGCAGTGATTGTAATCAATGATAAGGTGCAAATAAATTCAGAAAAATAATTTAAAATATGGTGAAAAGTGAGTTGCCCAAATTAACCCAGGGAAATATATTTTGAAAGCAATCCCAGACACCAGTTTGTGATAAACAAACGTCTGTGTAGTTTTCCTAAAATCCCTCAGAAGTTTCTTACCTTCAGCATCAAGAAGCCTGGCAATACCAAGAACAGATTCAGCTATATTAAAGGCCATATTTAGGCGATCTCGGTTTGACATTTGTCGAGCGGTATCCATATTGATCAAACCAGGTCGAATCTTATCAATGATAGCTAGGAATGCCATTCCATCTCTCCAGCTAGGTCCAAAATCACTCACCTGGATTCCAAATCTCCTGAAGTAGGAAAAAAACAAACTTATAGTTGCTCAGATTACAGCATTAATTTGTAAAACTAACTGTAAGTACAAAATCTGTGGTCGAGAAATAACTGGAAATCCATTATCTGTGGTCTATAACTAACTGTAAATACATTATCTGTGGTCTATAACTAACTGGAAATACATTATCTGTGGTCTAGAACTAACTAAAAATACACTAAGATATTAAAGACAAGACCTGTCGTATGTTTAAACCATCCACTGCTAAAACTAACTGGAAAGATATTAAAGACAATACCTGTCATATGTTTAAACCATACATTTCTAGAAATAATTCATGTAATTGTATACAATGCTATGTTATGCCATCTTTGAAGAATGTCTCAAAGAGTTTGTTCAAATTAAATTGATTTAATTCTTCATATAAGGAAAAAAATAAATATAACAACATTTTTTGAAAATAACATGCACAGTTCAACAAACAACGCTTTATCAAAACCACTTTTACAACAGTGTTTCAGATCAACAATGTACTTCAAAATTATGATTTTAACCCCACATGTCCAATTTAAATTGATAAAAAATTAGAATTTGCAATCCTACAACTGTCAAGGAGTTAACTTTGTAATCCTACAACTGTCAAGAGGTTAACTTTGTAATCCTACAACTTTCAAGAGGTAACTTTGTAATCCTACAACTGTCAAGAGGTTAACTTTGTATTATTACAAGTGAATTGAATAATAGTTACTGGCTGATGCTGTTCTTAACCCATTGTAAAAGGGCTTTCCTTGCTCCTCCTTTCCACCTATCCAGAGGACTGGGCTTTCCAAGTGGTGTGCCAGGAGTAACCCCATGCATCAAGACCTCTCCACATGGTACCTGGCCAACACTGTCAATACTACTAGTGCTGCTACTTGGAATCTGACTTAGTTGGTCTGCAAGGAGTCGAGTATTTTCTTCGATCTAAAACAGAATGGAGGTTCCTATTGAAATGACTCAAAGGCTTTAGGATGTTATGATATTTTATACTAATTTACAAACTTGTATTTCTTCATCAGTTTTAGAATTGTTGTATTTGTTTTCTTTGTGTTGCTTCATTTGTTAATCCTATGTGGGGGTCAAAGTAAGTATGCCACAACCTTTTACAGAGTTACATTCAACATGGTATTATGTATTTGATGTCAGAGGTATCAACGATTCATTTTACTCTACATTACTCATTGAGTGACAATTCATGGTAGAGGGGAGTAAATACAGTATAAAGATATACTGAAAAAACTGTAGATATGAATTTCTAAAGTCCTGCAGTTTATACAAATACAATAAGCAAACTGTATGATGGACAAAAGTATTTTTATTCTTCACATGAACATCACCTTTCACTCTTAATTTATCAGAGCCTGAGTAAGGCTGATATCTTGTGTACTGATACTTTTCTAATATATTTGTTTTTGTGTATACAACAGACTTGTACATTTTACTGTAAGCATGTCACATTTCATGTTGATTCACATAGTAAATTTGGAATTATAGTAAACATACCATCTCCAATATAGGGTTGGTCCAACTGATTGACCCTGCTCACATTGGGTTAATTATACAATTGAATGATTTCAATCAGAGCCAATTAACCATATAATTAGCAATTTCAATCAAAACCAGTAAGTTGTATGGTTATATTTACAGTCAGAATCAGTTACTTGCATAGTTACTATATTAGTTGTATTGTTGATGTTTTCTTAGAACCAGTTAGTTTTATGGTTGGTGATTTCAGACAGAACCAGTTAGCTATATAGCTCAGAGCCTAATTCCATTGTAACACAATCTTTACTGCTTAACAAAGAGCATCTGCTAGAAATGCCTCAGAAAAACTAGAAAAAGTTTTAACTATGACGTGTCGATTTATTCTTTATTATCATTCATCCAGAGGTTTTCTTCCCATGTCTTGTGGAATAACACTCATTGAAGAATGATTATAGACAGAACTCACTGGCTGGGTAGTTTGAGTAATGTAAAGAAAGCTAGTTAGTTGCTCAGTTGAGTGTTTAAAGATGGTTGCAGTTATTTGTGTAGTTGAGTGATTATAGAAAGAACCAGTTGGTGATGTACTTGAATGATTATGGAAAGAACCAGTTTGTGGTGTACTTGAATGATTATAGAAAGAACCAGTTTGTGGTGTACTCGAATGATTATAGAAAGAACCAGTTGGTGGTGTACTCGAATGATTATAGAAAGAACCAGTTTGTGGTGTACTCGAATGATTATAGAAAGAACCAGTTTGTGGTGTACTCGAATGATTATAGAAATAACCAGTTTGTGATGTACTTGAATGATTATAGAAAGAACCAGTTGGTGGTGTACTTGAATGATTATAGAAAGAACCAGTTGGTGGTGTAGTTGAGTGATTATAGAAAGAACCAGTTGGTGGTGTACTCAAATGATTATAGAAAGAACCAGTTGGTGGTGTAGTTGAGTGATTATAGAAAGAACCAGTTAGTTGTGTACTTGAATGATTATAGCCTAACTGGTTCTGTGTATAATTATCGAACTACACAACTAACTGGTTCTGTCTGTAATTATTGAACTACACAACTAACTGGTTCTATATATAATTATTGAACTACACAACTAACTGGTTCTGTATATAATTATTCAACTACACAACTAACTGGTTCTTTCTATAATCATTTGAGTACACCACCAACTGGTTCTTTCTATAATCATTTGAGTACACCACCAACTGGTTCTTTCTATAATCACTCAACTACACCACCAACTGGTTCTTTCTATAATCATTCAAGTACACCACCAACTGGTTCTTTCTATATTTATTGAACTACACATTTTTCAGAGTCTTATCTTTTTTTACAGCATGGAGAAAAAGGGAAAATTCTCAGAAGACCCCATTTTTTAAGCAATGTGAATACAGTACTTCGTTTTCTGGAGCGTAGAAGGGTAGGTACTATTTTATATAATATCAAAATTACATGAACTTGATGATAGTGAAATATGAATTGTTAATGAATAATTAAATGACTTGTAAAATAAATTAACAGCACTTCAGACTGTGATATCATTTCCAATAAAAATAAAAAGTAGAGATGATTCTCAAAATTATTTCTAAAATGTATGCATAAAAATAAATTTTATAGATTTTCTTCTGGTTCTTTAAGTCTTGGCTTTCAGAAAAAATCAATCAACATGAACATGAAATTTATATGAAAAGTAAATATACTCAAAACACTTTTTTGATGTTTGTTATAGATTAAAATGGTCAATATCAATGCTGGTGACATAGTGGATGGAAAAACCAACATTGTTTTGGGATTAATCTGGACTGTTATTCTACACTTCCAGGTACAGTATTGTATCTGTAGTTAAAATAGAAAAAGGAAATTTTAACAGTTGCATTTTTATTATATCAGTGTGGGTCTATGCTACACTGAATTATGTATTAAAACAATAACTTTTAACATAATTAGTAGGATCTATGTAATGTGTTTGTTATTATACCACAGTTTTAATTACATCTTTCTTTCAATAAGAAATAAAGTTCTCACTAAATATTATCTGGTTTTATATCTAATTATTGAACTACACAACTAACTGGTTCTTCTCTAATTATTGAATACACAACTAACTGGTTTTGTCTATAATTATCGAACTGCACAACTAACTGGTTTTATCTATGATTATTGAATTATACAACTAACTGGTTTTATCTATGATTATTGAACTACACAACTTAACTGGTTCTGTTTGACAATTTTTCTCCAAATATTCTGTACAACTCTCTAAGTAATGTCCAAATACTAGTTTTTAATAAAAATCTAGAAATGCAGTATACTTCCAACTTTGATCTTTCTCTGGGAAAGGAATGCAGTACAGATTACCCAATATTTTAATGTAAAGAACACCAAAACACTGGAGTTTACCAAGACAAAGGTAACCTACCGTGGAAAACGTACTCAGTGAACTTACCTTGGAAAACGTACTCAGTGAACCTACCGTGGAAAACGTACTCAGTGAACC